TTTATAAACAAGTATACAATAAAAAAACAAAAAACGAATTACAAAATTTTCCAAATTTACGCCCCCCCCCCTTTTATTGTAGTTTCATCCAATTGATTTTATTATCCTATAGACTATTATTATGTATAATAAGGTCAGAGTACATTCCTAGTTACGTGGTTATCGGAATCTATAGACATACAACGAAAATGTCTTCAACCCTAAGACATTGAAGTCGTCGTGGCCTAACAGATAAGACATATAAGGTGCATTCGTGTTGAGCGATGCACTGGTGTTCGAATCTCAGGCGGGTACCAATTTTTCTAATGAAATATGTACTCAACAAATGTTCACGATTGATTTCCACGGTGAAGGAATAACATCGTGTAATAAAAATGAAACCCGCAAAATTATAATTTGCGTAACTACTGGTGGTAAGACCTCTTGTGAGTCCGCGCGGATTGGTACCACCACCCTGCCCATTTCTGCCGTGAAGCAATAATGCGTTTCGGTTTGAAGGGGGGGGCCGTTGAAGCCGTTGTAACTTACTTGAGACCTTAGAACTTATATCTCAAGGTGGGTGGCGCATTTACGTCGTGGATGTCTATGGGCTCCAGTAACCACTTAACACCAGGTGGACTGTGAGCTCGTGCACCCACCTAAGCAATAAAAAAAAAACATGAGGTCGCATTCTCAAGAGTTGAATTGTAATCGAACCAGAACAATATAAGAATGCGTGTTGGTAAAAACATTAATAGATTCGTAAATATTAGTAAAGAACAATATTTAACGTAGACAATAAAAAAAAATACATTAGCAGCTAATTCAGACCTATTTTACCTCGCTTATACATATTCGTTTTTCCTGTACTTTATCTTATGTTAGTACAGGAAAAACGTTATGTTATCTATGGAACGGATGTTTTTAAAGTAATTGTTACCAATTTTAAAATTTGCACACGTATCAAGGATCAATGGCAACTCAATAATTTTATTGTTTTGGGCAAATATCCTAGCCAAGGCCATAGGTCATAAAAGAACTATCTTAATTTTTAGTTCGGCTTGTGTTTCGAGCCTCTCTTTTGTAGTTATTAAACTGTATTTACTTATTCAACTTCATTGCAAGTAAACTATAAGAAAAAACGGCATTTAAGTTAATACATACTACTAATTAATTTATAATCTCAATAACGAGGTCGACATAATTCTTATCTTAATCTAATTCACCTTGTAATTTCTCATTCTTATCTTTACGTCTGTCAAAAGTTTCTCAAACCACTAATCTTTTATGATTTGTTCAGTTCGTATTACGTAAATATTGATTGAGAATATCTATCGTCTATAGGAACTCGAAAATATATTGATCTGAAGACGGACCCTAGTGTTTATTTCGTGTGTTCCGGTGAATTCAGGTGGGCTTGGAGATTAAGTGCCCATCAATACTGTAATAACCTCCAAGGTACGATAATAATTATTAAATCGCACACTTCGCTCACAGGCTACCGAACTTTTGTTCAAAGTCTGTAGTTCCTTCCTTCCTCAAGCTACCGGCGATTCGGTAGGAAAAATAAAAAAGTTCGAAACTGGAATCGAACGCCGACTAATCTGTTTTATTTGTAACCAAATCTTTTATTAAATTAATTAAATTACCGGATAATTTGATCGGAGACATTCAGGACGGAAACTGTGAAAACACTTCACTTAATTGATATATGACTTGGAGAAAATTTAAGTTACATTTACATTAGTACGTGCTCAATAACAAACCACCAATGGCCCAGTTGAACCACAGACCTGATAAAACAAATCAAAATACCTATCACGACAAAACCATTAAAAAATACCTATAAATTAATGATACGAAATTAAATATCGATATCTATATATTAATACGTGAAGCAAAAATTTTGTATCCCTTTTTACGAAAATCGTGCAAACGGAGGAGTATGAAATTTCCCATACTTATAGAGAACATAGAGAAGGAGTGCACAATGCTAATATTTTTTTTAATTATGCATTAAAAATACATTAAATCAATAAAGAAAACACCACACACACTACCATGTATTTGACACGCACACTACTATACTATACTGTTTGTTTATTGTCAAACTTTTGTTATTGCTTAAAGTCTGTGGTCAAATTGAGAATAGGTTAATATTGTTTATCTTTAATATTACGAGTATTTGTCTATAGTGTAGTCTTAGCGAAATCTGTGACTATAGAAATATAATAAATAGTATTTGACAATAGAACCATAATAATGTTCAAACTTATAATTTCAATGAATTATAGTCGAATTTCGACTACTGCTGGACTACTAGCCAGGTTAAAACATTAACGTAACCGGATATTTAAATGCAACAGATGATGTTATTAAAAACAAGCTTAGAATTTTACTGATAAGAAGGTCAGGATAATAACTTAATTATGAATCAACATCGATTATTTGTTTCCGCATTGCAGATTTAATACAAGCTTATCTATATCGTTAACTATCTGCAACTATTCATAAGTGGTTGCGCGAAAAAAGGATCGTAAATCTGTAATTAATTTAGCAGAGAGAGTACTACTTGGAAGTATTCAAATATACAATTTACCAAATAAGTATGTTATTTTATGTCTGACTTGCGAAAACCGTAGTTATCTAAAAAAAAATAAGGAGATTTCTTTCAAATAACGATTTGGCATTCGCCCTGTCATTGCTGATGTACAAAAGCGAAATGTTAAAATTACAAATATTAATTATGCATCTCGCTCGATTTGTGACAACGTAATAATATTCTAATAGTTTATTGAAAGTTTTGGTAGGCTTGAGAGGTTTAGGCATTCGATTTAATCCACTGAGTTTCCAGTAGGTCTCGATTCAGATCTGATAGTAGATTCAGCGAAGCACTGGCGTGGGGCATACGTCTGAGTTCGTTTCCCATTCTAGCCACCAGCATTCTATACGCGAAAATAAAACTCCAAAAACTCAAAAGAGATTGGCTTATATTCACATCCATCTTCTCGTTTACAATGCAATTGAATATTAATACATACATAGATAACTAACACACTATCCATACTATCTGGAACCAATGCGTTCATCCACATTGCGTTTCCAGATATCTTTTCTGCCACCTATCATCCGGCTTTGGAATGAACTCCCCTCCACGGTGTTTCCTGAGCGCTATGACATGTCCTTCTTCAAACGAGGCTTGCGGAGAGTACTTAATGATGGATCTTGACTTGGCCGTCAGGTGGTCAGTACGCTCGTCTACCTAGAGAAAGGCAATAAAAAAAACATTTAATAAAATATCAAATCTTCATTATATAAATCCCGGCAAATTGTATCTCTTATTGCCAGCACAAAAAAAAAACCTTTAAACTTCCCAATGATGAAAACAAGGAGTCTTACAACTTAATGTTCTTACAACAAAAGCGAAGGTTACCGTTCGTAAATGTTAGTTTTTATTTTAGTTTTTATACATCTTCAAATGCGTTAGCAGAATCATTGAGAGATTCGTAAAAAAAAATCGCCTGACGTAAAATAATAATTATGACGTTTGTACATGTATTTTGTAAACAAGACGTGAATTCTTCGCATTTATGGCGGTCTTCTTTGCTTTCGGATTTTGAGCACGATTGATATTTAAGAAAACTATAAATAGATTTATTTGCTACCAGCTTAAAATAGCGGACTTAAGTGTAGCTACCGCTCTTAATTTTTTTGCTAATCGCCATAAAAATGAGGTTAAAATATAGTTTTTAGAAAATGTATCCTTTTCTTTGATTATTATTAACCAAAAAGTAGTTGAGGATAAGCTATTGCAAAACACAAAAGTCCACAAAATCTGGTCACTAAAGCTTATTATTGACAAACAATGGGAGTCACAAACGTTTCTTGCTCCAATTAAAATTTTCAAATGTAAATATTGAGGAAATTCTACCAAACAATACGTAACGTTTTCGTAAATGTTTTCATTCAAATTCAAATACCGATGGATCCAGCCAGATTGTTGACCCTAAACGCGTTCTGTAAATTATTAGAATGCTAACTAATCATTCGAATTTCAAGATTTCAAATTTAGAAAAAAAAAATACTATTTTATAATAGATTTCTATTATCGAATATGCATAGCAGACAAGAATGAATATACGGAATTTATTATTTATCTTATCGAATTTTTCAAATTACATTTTAGTTTTCTATATTTGTATTCTGTGCGAAATCCGATTGAAATATGATTATCAGTTGAATTTAAACATCGAACAGAGATTCAAATGATTCTAAATTTAAAACGAGAAACAATTAGAATTTTTTCAACTAAAATTTAATTCAAACTCAAGGTATCCTTAAAATTAAATTTTAATAATATCTACGACAAAAGTACACTATAATATACCTAATTCAATGCAAACTTGTACCTTCGTGCAAACATCGCTTTGCATTTAAATCACTAGAACATTTTTTCCGTGAGGGATAAACGTGCACAGTTTCAAGTTCAGCTGCGGGTAATTATCGACCGTGTCATTGACTACGCACTCGCTGCCAAGTGTCAACTGACAGCAATCGTGTATCCTTTATCCAAATTAAATCTTAACTGAACATTAATTACGAGTAGCAATCACATTAATATTGTAAAATTAATTGAAATCTTTCCGGGATTTTTTTCATTTTGCGGCAAGATATCGCTAGGCGACGAGAGCTAAACACAAAAATAGATAGATAAAATGCCGTTTGTTACGCATATTCCCGCTGTACTTGTAATAATATGAGATAACACGATCGATTCTATTCTTATCGTTCAATTCTCAAGCGAAATAGGTTAGCGGGTTATTCGTTCATTGTCGCGACACGTTCAATAATTGTACAGAAAATTTTCATGCTTTATTCAGCTGGCGGACTTCCAGTGACAATAATTACCTTGAACGTTGCCGTACTGACGAACGTATTGTGACTTTTCACTCGTATTTCTCGACCGCATGGAACAGTTCGATTTTAGTTTTTTTTTTTTTTTTTTTTTTATGTGTGATTCTTTGTGTTATCTGTGATTCTTGGTGTTGTGACAATGTTTTATAGTTGCGTTATTAGATCGTAATATTGTACTAATACTCTGACAATTAATGAAAAGGTATTGTATTTTTACTGTAATGAAGGTAGATGTATCTCTTTTGTAACCGTCTTTTTTTCGATAGGCACGAAGTAAAAAAATGGTAACCATGGTAAAATGGTAGCTTAAATAATAGTAATTAATGAGGTGCAGCCAAGCGTTAATAAGCTGACCACGAAAGTCTGCATACGGGCGTGGCTTTTTAATTAAATTACACGAGGTACCTATATTATGAAATAGGACGTTATTATGTTGGTTTGGTTCTGTTACGACGAACAAAATATTCGCGTATTTCTTTTGCAGAAACATGTTGGAGTATTTCATTCAAACCACGACATTCGAACTCCAGAAATTTAAAATTGAATAATTGATTGTCAGTCTTTAGCTTAGCGGCCGTGTGCTATGATACCTAAGCTCTTAAGAAAAGCATAATTAAAAAAAAAAAGATGCCTAATCTGTGTTTCGTTTCTCTGCTTTAATATGTAAAGATATTTCATAAATATTAAGATCAATATCACTTCGTCGATCAATACAATGAGCACTTCCTGCTATAGTGTAATACTAAATATTCAAATAATACTAAATACATTTTAAATTAGCTGAGTTGTTTTTTTCAATAGTGCAGCGGGGCTATAAAATAGTATCGTATATACGCCTTATGATTTTTTATTCGATTCATAATAACGCTAAAAGTTCGTTTGAACGCACCGTCTTTTTTTGTAAATATAAAATAATATTTAGGTATCTTGTTTACGAAGCTAAAAATAATGTTAAACATATACAAAATAGTAACAAAAACTTCATTCTGCTTTTGATTTTGATCAATTTGTGCAAGTCGTATCCGTTTAAACACGAATGCTCTCTAGCATGGTTAGTAATCCCTCGTGGCTGAGCCCATGCTCACCCAGCTGTCCAGATGAAACTGGAAAGGCCTCCGGGCCAGCCCTAATACTGACTTTCAAAAACAAAAGCGTAATAATTTTAACATTACGAAACCGCGGCATAGTCTTTGTTGTTTTTTAAGTTTGTTAATCTTGTTATTTGTGTTTTTTATTTTTATGAATGTTGTTTTTTTTGTTTAGTTGTTTTAGAACACGTACTTAAACTTAAGTTCTATTTGCTGTTTTTGTTTCGTTACTTTATGTATAATATTGTTAGAATACTTGTTAATTTCAAGTTAAGCTCAAACGAAACAGGAATACGCTTAACAGCAACTTAATTTGATCATACTTTTATTTATTTATTTGATTTTATGTTTTACAAACAAATACAGGACGGTACAGATGTGCTGTATTTTTATGTAAAACTCGTGCATCTGCGTTTAAGCATTGTGGGCGTAGTGTCGTCGGAGTTTTTCAATGACGAAGCCGCAAAAATATATACTGACAAAAAATGTACTCAGAATTATTCAGTGGAATTACAGTAGAATTGAATAGAAAGTATTTCTTGCTTGTAGACCATTAATTTGTAATTTTTATAAAAATACTGTTACCAGGCTTATTGAAACTGTAAAAAGTCTTCGATAGCAAAATGAAAAATATTATTTTGTGTTCTAATTTCGAACTAATTCCGTTCTGTGTAGCAGGGTACTATAGGAACGATTGAAAAATTATTAATACAGAGATTGTTTGTGTTGGTTGTATTGTTGTCTACTTATGTGGATACCGTTAATTTTTTTGTTTTGTTTTTTTGTTTGAGTTTTTTTTTCTGGAACTCGTAATTTTATTTTATTTGTAATTTTTTATTCTTATTTGTAATTTTGTTTTCAATAGCCAAAGCTATGTACATTAATACGGGTTTGCTGAGTGCACATAACATTTAGATTGCAGTCCAGATTAGATCGAGGTACTACTCTTACGATTTAGCTAATAATAATATGTACCGTAAAGATTGTAATTTGTTTTGTGCATCATTAAATAAAAAAGAGATGAAAAATGGCAAATTTTTTCTATAAAAAAGAAGCTCTTAGCTCGTTATTAAAAACTAGCAAAATAACGTTTTAAACTATAAAATAACGCAAGCGTTAAAGTAAAAAATAAACCCACTAGAAGCCATAGTTTCGTTTTAACTTATTATTTATTTATCCAAAATCTTACTGCGGGAATGTGGTCTCAAAATATCAATTGTACTGCCAATTAGTTATGGACGTCGATAAACCGATTAGTATCAGTCAGGATAAATCATTGATACATATAATTCGCGCACTCCAGCTAACGTTATACAAATTAAATTTATTGATCTAAAAATCACGACCAACAGAAACGTCTAATGCAAATAGCGTAAAGTGATAATAATTTATCTGTGACATCATTATTTATGGACCATATCTATGGAGATAAGAAGAATATAGATAAGAGAAAAAAAATCTTTTTTATTTACCTAAACATTGAATCAGTTCTTAGAAACTATCAGTAATAATAGGTTTTTCGTGATTTCTAAATTAAAATAATTTAAATTTAAATAGCTATGTATCTTCCATTTTATACATTATTATTATTAAATTAAGTGTAACATAAAAAAAGTTAATAAATTAATAAACGTTACCTCAATATCGTCTATAAATAAAGTGTGCGAAAGAAATAATGATATTCAAAACACATAAAATATCACTTCTGTGATGAGCTGTGTACGCATAATATAGTGAGATTAAAATCATCTTTTCAATTTACAGTAAATTCCTGTAGAAAAGACACGACACAAACTAATGCTCATAAAACTCGGAGACCTGTTGAATAATACCGCAAAAGACCTTTTAAACTCAACGTAAGTACGTACGCATAAACTTGGCAACATTAACGCGAAAGTATCGTTTATTTTATAGCTTCCTCGAAAAAGGTTGTTATCGAACTACACCTGCATTGTTGAATGGGTTTTATACTTTACTTTTGATAATTTAATGGCGCTTTATAAATGTACCTGATTTTCGGTTGATAAAAATGATATATCAATCTCTATCTTCTGTATACATTTGCGCCTACGTAAGTTTATTTGAATATAAGCTGTTATGTCTCGCAAAAAAATAATATTTTAACGTACACCTTCTGTTGTGAGCATCGAAGAACATCAAACAATCATTGTTTAAAAGGAACGTGTTTACAAACTTATCGATTAGCGAAAATTGAACGGAAAAACTGATTCTTGACTATTGTTAGAGCTGCCTTCGAAGACAATCGAATTGAAAATGAATTAAAAACAGACACAATATGTACGTGTTGAAGACGCTTAGTTTTAACTTTAAGCAAACTGCAAAAGTGAAAAGTTACATTATGAACTTCTATTCTCTTAGTTTTAATTACGATACTATTAATATTCGGTAAAAGTTAAATTTTTTTATTATAGATCACAACTTTGGTAGGCAGCGGCTTGGCTCTGCCCCTGGCATTGCTGAAGTCCATGGGCGACGGTAACCACTCACCATCAGGGGGGCCGTATGCTCGTCTGCCTACAAGGGCAATAAAAAAAAAAAAAAAAAAAAACTTTTCAAAGCGTAAAGTTACAATAATACCAATGGAGTATTGTTAAGAATGTAACACGTCATTACGGATCCTCCCGAACCATTAACGGTGCTTTTAGATACCATAAGCACCGGTCACCGTCCTCGCCGAACCCGTCGCTTGCGACAAAGGGCTCGACGAGCGAATTAACCTATAGACACAGCTCACTGAGTTTCTCGCCGGATCTTCTCAGTGGGTCGCGTTTCCGATCCCGTGGTAGATTCTGCGAAGCACTGCTTTTGATAGGGCCAGTGTTGGGAACACTCCGGTTTAAGCCCCGTGAGCTCACCTACATGTTAGGACGAAGCTAAAATAGCCTCTCAAGGCTATCAGCGTAGGTAGGGAAAAAAGGTAAGAATGAAAAGACCCGACATAGACATAAAATAACTCCTGGCCTCGAATTTTCGTCAAAATACATCTTCTAAATGATTTCTGGCTCGGAGACAAGTAGGGAAACGGGCTGGTGAACATTTATCGTTGAATTTATGGCGTATTCGACCCACGCGCTATTTGAATGGATCGAATTCAGCGCAAATGCTTCAGGTTCAAGTACGCCGAATAATTATTTATAGGTTAAGGTGAATTGTTTTTGCGTGCACCTTTCATTCGATTGTACTTCTTTTAAATAATGACGTTGGTTTTTGTAATCACCGTTGCTTCGTTCATAATCTACATCGTTTTCTCCTTTACTATCTATCTTCCTTACTAGCTATCCATAGTACTGTTTATTAAGTCCATAGGGTCAGTAAATACCGGGATTATTATTAGCTCTTTAGCCACATGGGTAGGTATAACCACTCTGTTTATTTCTGCCGCGAAGGTGGTAGAGCTGTTACATAATTTGAAAGTTCAACTTCATCTCTCAAGGTTGGCAGCGGTCTTCATTTGTAATGTCTATGAACTCCGGCTGCTGCCTGGCATCAGGCAGGTCGTGAGCTGATTCACCTATCTCCCCACTCTTATCCCGGTGTGTCACGTTACGGAGATTCGCTATTCAGTTATAACAAAAGTTCATGATTAAGAAGGTCACGAATGAGGAGACATCTTTGAACATCACTCTCAAGCTCGCTTTCAAGCATTTGAAATACGAATATCAAGTAAAATAATAACGCAACTATGAAATTCGCCTTTGACAAAATACATTTTCTTACCTCGTATGGCTCAATGTAGGTCATATAGACAACATCTACGGTTACGCATGACCTGTACTGATAAATGTGAGATCTAGTTTTCTCGAGTTAACAGTTCACTGAACAGATCCGTATCAGATTTAATTTATAACATGCAGAATACTGTTACTGTATTAAAAATGAACGTTTGGTACGTATTAACAACTCTATATATAGCATGTTCTTTATCAAATAAAGTTGACAAAATTCTGGATTTGTTGAAAATGTCAAATTATTGAAACATTTTTAATGGAATCAGAAACTAGAATCTTTTTTTCCCTAACTATCCTAGTAACCCCAAGGGGTTACATTGGGCTTATCTGTTATGGGGAAGCGAGCTCATGGAACTCAGCCTGGCGAATTTGCTAACACTTAGCAAGGGCAGTGGTCCGCTGAATCTAACATCGGATAGGAATCGCGAAGCATTAAAAAAATTTGGCATGTATGAAGCCGAAACCTATGGTTTCTTTACTGTAAAATCGTAAAGTGACGTCAACACTTAAATAGCATATAGCAGTAAAAAAATAAGCATATAAGCAGGGGATTCCCTAGTACACTATATGCGCGTCACGTATTCTAGTCAAGATAGAAATAAAAAAAATAAAAATAAAACATTTCCTACAGTTTACATTTGATTGGTACTTGAATGTGATGTGTTGTTCTGGTTGTGCCGAGGTCGACGAATACTTAGATTGTGAAGATTTATTGGTTTTAGATTTTACGAGTGGAAAAGTTACATAATAATCGGGAGTATGTTGACTGGACTGACTCCGTGGTGCAGCAGTTAACGCTCCCGACTGTTGTGCCGAGGGTCGTGGGCTCGATCCCTACATAGGGATACCATTTTGTGTGATAAAAAGGTTGGTTTGTTCGTTGTCTGGGTGTCTATTATTACTATATACACATTTAAATATATACATATATATTTGTTAATGTTACATAGGGAATCCTAAATTGAGACTGGATGTGAGCATGATTTATTCTTAGTTATTTATTATGTAGTATTTAAATTAAATAAATAAACGTGACTTGCAAAACTTCACAAAAAGTTTTGAATGATGAAACATGTTTAGTTTTAATAAAAAACAAACGCCTTATTAATTTTATTAAAAACCTAAATTGAACAGGTGCAATAAGAAAATTTTATCTGACAACATTTAATTTTGCTTATTACCGTGAATATATTTATAAATATAATCCCCAACGTAAGTAGCTGGTTTTCAACGGAAATCAACTCGCGTAAAAAATGTGCAAGATATTAAATTAAGTGTTAAGGATCTTTCTTGACACTGTACTGAGTTGAGTTCACCACTTATTGCCACTATATAAGAGTTCTTTTGCAACATAATTCATTAAAACTAAATTAGTTTTAAATGTAAGTAATGTACATTTTGATAGAATCCTGGCTACAGAAATGCGTCTGGAGGTTTTAAACGATTAGATATTTATCACAACGACAGTTCTATTATTGTATGTAGTTAAACAAACACACATGTAATAACGCACTTTAACCCAAATATATACATATTGACGCTTGAAAGGCAAACGTGACTAAGCGTCACTGGTGGTAGGATCTCTTGTGAGTCCGCACGGGTAGGTACCACCACCCCGCCTATTTCCGCCGTGAAGCAGTAATGCGTTTCGGTTCGAAGGGTGGGGTAGCCGTTGTAACTATACTGAGACCTTAGAACTTATATCTCGAGGTGGGTGGCGCATTTACGTTGTAGATGTCTATAGGCTCCAGTAACCACTTAACACCAGGTGGGCTGTGAGCTCGTCCATCCATCTAAAAAAAAAAGCGACAATAACTGCTTTATACATAAATGATAGGCAATAACCATATTCGATGCGCAAAAAATATATATTACTAGGTCTATTAAAATAATTTCAGCTAGATTCGTTAAAATAGAATTTTTATTCAGGTATTTCAACTTTAAATTAGTCTACTGTAAAGTTCACGCATTGTCGCTTAGTCACGTTTGCCTTTCAAACGTCAATATGTTAAATCTATTAATGTTTTAGTAAAAGAGTACTTAAAAGTTTTGTCGTCTCAAAAATATAATATATTAATAGTAACGTTATAAAATCGCCGCGTGTTTGCCAGAAAGCTGATAGCGTAGTTCGTGTTTTATTACACAATTATTTGCATACGTTTTGTTTAATGTAAACACTGCGCTATAGAAACATATCTTTTGAAGGTTACTTTTGTTACGTAATATTTTTTCATTTATTTGATGTACTATTGTGATGCAGTGATAACAGATAAAGCGATGTTAGGGTAATGGATTCAATAGGGATGTTCCCTTTCTTCCTAGAATATTTTTTATTCATTATTTTATATGTAACAGCAAAAATTATATAAAAAAGGTTTTTTTGTTAAGGCAGCATTGATATCAGTTAGAAAATAACGCAGTAATTAATATTTAAAAGATTAGTAATAACGGTGCGTCCACGATGGTAGCGTCTCTCTTTCTCTTTTTCAAAGAGGTGACTATTCATGTGCACCCTCTTCATTTATTTGAAACTACATATATTCAGTATTGAGTTTTGCTGATTAATAAATGGAGTTTTTTTTTGGAAATATAGTGATATATTCTTAATCTTCTCTCTTAGTCTTTCAGTGCAGTCATCAAATAAAAATGTAAATGTACTCTCAACCACAATGACGTTTCTATCCATCGTACATAAATAAAAACAAAATGAAGAATTGAAATAGATTATAATGAGAGAATTATTTTATTTTTTGAATTGAGTTTCTAAGTTATCGTCGTGTAATTTTTGGGTCTAGAAAAATGGATACCGTCTGTACCGTGAAGTTTTTCCGTAATTGAAGGATATACGTTATTAAAAAAAAACAAGGATGTCCCTCTTGTTATTGTAAGAAAAGTCGGTTTTGACTTTGTTGGTGTCCATACGTTCGTATAACTCAACAAGCTCGACTCTATATATGAGGCCGTCAGCGCAAAAGTGGATTAAGCTTACCATAGTTCGCATGAAGATAATGAGGTTTGAATAAAAAAAATTTTTTGCTTACATGGGTGGACGAGCTCACAGACCATCTGGTGTTAAGTGGTTACTGAAGCCCATAGACACCTACGAC